AAACCCACGATGGTAGATTAATAGAACTAATGTTACTGTGCAAAATAAAAAAGATGTTACAATTTGGCGCCGAAGATTTTGACCTGATAGAAGTTCATCACGACATTAGGGTTTATTTCACTTGATAAATCCACTCCAGAGCAAAAACAACTATCAAATTTCAGAAAAAAAAAGAGGTTTACTTAAGCTTTTTTTTTTCAAAACGTTTTATTCCATAAGTTATGTTTTATGATTAAACCTCCTGAAAGATAATATACAGTAGACAAGTGTTTTTGTCCGACTTTCGAAACGAAAGTAACGGAATATTTGTGCTCGGGGTGGGTTTTTTTTTTCTTCAGACAAATTTCGACTTTTTAACTAGCCATTTCTGACGGAATTTTTTATATCATTCGAAAGGTATTGTTGTCCTGAGCTCAAATTTGAAAAGATATTTCACCTGAGATCATTTTTTCGTAAAGTTATGGGGGTTTAAAGATTGCCATTTTGGCCAATTGGGGACAATTAACGCGCGATATATTTAGCGCTATTAACGCGTAAGCGGAGAGTTATTCCGTCTTAGAAATCGTTCCAAATTGGTTAAAAGAAGCTTATTCGCCATAATTGGTCTGTTACAAGGAGCAAAATCTATCCCTTTGTACTTTGGCGTGTGGGGGGATGATTTTCATTAAAAAATTTCAAATTTTAGAAAAAAAAATTTTTCATTTTATTTTTTCTTACATTTAATTTTTTAATGTTATTACTGCTCCATAAACCTTTCAAGGCAGTCGGAACATTCAGGGCTTCGCCCTGATACGAGCAGTCTTGTTTCATTATACTTACAAAGAGCTATAGTAAAATATTTGGATTGATACAGAAATTATTTAATCTGCAATTTAGAATGAACTTAATTGTTTTGTTCTGAAATTTTAATTCCCTTTTGCTTTCCACTCCCACTTTTGATTTTTTGGTGTTTTGGCGCTATTTTTTTAATGATAGGAACCTTAGATTTTTCTATTTGGGTTTTTGTTCCCTCATATATGTTAGGACCCCCGGAGTTGCATTGGGGTTCTGTCTATTTTTCCTAGACCCCGGCTACAGGTTTTCGAGGCTTTCTGCTCGCGACTTCAAGAACTCCTAATTACAAAACCCTTAAATTTTTGAGTTGGCACGGCTTTCGCTGTGGGTGAGAGATGGCCGCTTTTCAATTTTTTTTGCATCTCTTGCTTGAAAGAGATAATCAAATGCTCTGTAGTTGCGACTTCAAGAATCCCTTTGAATTTAACTGACCCCAGTTTTTGGGCTGGTCATCATTTCGTTGTTACGCGTTGTGGCTGAGCGCGGGCCAATTTGTTTAAAAATGCTCCTAACCCTTGGAACCCTCTGGTATGAGCCGTTGAGGGTGTACTCTATATTATAGTTTTAAAAATTGCCGTGGTCGGTGGGCTTTGGTGAGTACGGTTTTTTGGTCGGTGGTTTGGCCCTTTTATAGAAATTTAGCCTAAATGATTTCTGGCGATAGCTACGGTTTTTCGTATTTTAATTTAGAGATTGTCTGAAAGGGTCCCCATTGTGATAAAATAAGGTACATTTTAAACCTTAATCAGTTTTTAGTGTGCACGTAAATTAGTGGGCACGCAACCGTTAAATTGTTCCAAATTGGTTGAAAGAAGCTGATTTGCCACAATTTATTTGTTACAAGGAGCGAAATCTATCTGTTTGTACCTTATATGGCGTGTGGGGGATGAATTTCATATAAAATTTCAAATTTAAGAAAAATTTCTTTTTTTTTGTTATTATTGCTCCATAAAGCTTAAAAGGCAGTCGGAACATTCAGGGCATCGCCCTGATAAGAGGAGTCTTGTCTATGTTTCTTATACTTTGAACCGGGATACAATTTCCCGAGTCAAAAATATTCAGTCAAATTATAGTGAACATAGAATATAAAAAAAGATCAAGACTGCTCGTATCAGGGAACGCCTTGAATGTTCCGACTGCTTTTTAAGGTCTATGGAGCAGTATTACCAAGAAAAGTTGAATAAAATAAAATAAAAGGAAATTTTTCCCCCAACACGCCATATAAAGTACAAGGTGATGGATTTTGCTTCTAGTAAAAAATCAATTATAGCAAGTTAGAACGATTTCTAAGACGGAATGAATCTCCGCTAACGCGTTGATAGCGCGAAATGTATCGCGCTTTAATTTTCCCAAATTGGCCAAAATGGCAGTCTTTCAACCATCATTATAATACAAAAAATGATATCAAGTGAAAAGAAAAAACTTTTTAAATTGAAGCTCAAGACAATAATGCTTTTTGAATGATATGAAAAATCGCGTCAAAAATGGCTGATTAAGAAGTCGAAATTTGTCTGAAGAATAAAAACAACCCCCGAGCAATGAGATATCGTTATGAGATATTTTCGAATGTTTGTATTCAAGACATTATGTTTTCCGAATTGTGTTTTCTGAGTAATCTTTTCTAACATATAGATCAGCGACACCTCTCAATAAAGTATACCTAATCTGTTTAAATTAAATACAGTTCCTTCAAGAAGAAAAACTTTCATTCAAGTAGAACGATAGCCGGTTGCCTGGCAAGTATCCAGCCTACACGATAGTCTGCTCAAAAATTGCTACAGAATTAGAGCACTAGTTGGAGCGCTTTTTTAGACAATTGCGCTCAAACTGCTCAAAAAACGCTCAAATCCTAGCAAAAAAAAAACGATCAAATCCTCGCAAATTTTGAGCATTTTTTTGAAAGTTTATCCTGAAACGGTCTCTGTATAAGTTAAAGCGCACATGCAACCAGCTCTATAAAAATTAAAGCTCCATATCTACCACAAAAACGAAGGTCCAAAAAATTGTCAACGTCTTCTTAAGCTTGTCAACGCTCATTCTGAATAAACATTTTGAATTTTGAGCGTAATCGTCAAAAAAATTAAAACCGCTCAAGTCATGCTTGAAATGGGCTGAAAACATCGACTCGTTCAAGAACATTCCTACAAAAATTTTACAATGAAACAAAAAATACTTAAACAAAATTATATTTTTCACGCGTTTCATGAATCACGAAAATTTGTTATTAAAATTTAACGTAGAAAACCGCTTCTTTTTGGCTTTCACACAAATTCAGCTCGCATCTAAATTTATATTAAAAGCTGAAAACCAAAAATGCTGACCATTTTTTTGCGATACAGGAATTTTTTCCAAACTTCTTATTGCATCTCGAAAAATGAATGGACGGCCGTTGATATGAAATACCACACGACCATATTTATCGGCAAGTCAACATTCTCCGACCCCCATATCTGTTTAGGGTTTGAGGATGTTAACTTGGTTTTGAGTTTGAACTTTCAGCCAACAATTTAGGCAATGAAACTTGGTATGGTGAACAAAATATTGCAAACATATTTGTTCTTTAAACAGTACATCGTAAAATTGCACTTTCAGCCAGAGCAACAACTAATTTTTTTCTAATTGAAATTTGGAAGGTCGGAAGAGGGGGAAAAGAGCTGCAAATGTAATCCAAATTAAATGCTGGGGTGGAGAATCTTAACTTGATCCCCTATCTGTATTTATTTGCCATACCTGGCCTAGCGTGAAAAAAAAACACCTGAATTCAAAGTTGCTGCACACCTCCGGTGGTCGGATCAAACAGAAGACCAAAGACTATGATATAAGTGTTTGAAACGTTGGTGTCATTGTATCAGCTGCAGGAGAAATTTGAAAAAAAAAAGCTCATCTTGGATTTTGCCGAGCTCTCCAAAAACACCATGAGGACCTCACTTTATTGAAGGTACTCCTCGAAATTTTTGGTCAAAAATTTGGTCACTTCAGCGAAAGTTTTGACCGCAAAATTGCAATGTTTTCGCCCGCGCTCCATCTCAAAATTTCTATGCATTGGCGCCAATGGCGTCTTTAGAAACATTCAACAGTTGGTCGGCCGAAAATGGATGTCGTGAAGAAGTAACAAATGGGGTCCTTTTGGTTGAACCTCAGAGGGCAGGGGGACGCTTTCACGACCGCTTTCCCCTAAATCTGCCCTGCTTAAAGGATACTTGTTTTTCTGACAATTAGAGACGTTTGCAGCTATGCAATACGGTCTAAAATCATTGCCTCAGGCTTGGAAGTGATATTTGTAAAAACACAATAACTCTGTTGTGTTATTTAGGTGTGAAGCTATTTATAATTTACTGATGACAGCTGATACTAACCGCAGACGCCGACGAGGAAGTTGATGATGGTGAGATTGAGTGCGATCAGGTATGCATAGTTGGGGGTGGACTGGGACCGACTGTCTGTTGCCGATTGGGTGGCGATGGCCACCATCAGCACCAGATTCAACAGAGTAGTCACCACACATATGAAGATGAGGAACACTTCGAACAAGAAATGGAACCAATCCAAGTCCCCACCTCCTCCCATCCCTCCTACTCCTTCGTCCCCACCCAACTCACCCATCTGTGCCCCTTCCCCGAAGTCAAGTGAGGAGGTGGAGTTAGCGAAAATAGTACTGGAATAAATATCATCCATTTTAAGAAAGACGATCCTCAGATATTGTTATAGTCTGTGTTAATAATGAAAATAAACAACAATTTTTAGCTGGAGAATTTCAAAGCCACTCGATTGCAAAAAGAGAAAAAAAAATAAAAGGAACTTTTTCGAGTTTTCCAAATAAAATAATGAGCAATTCACAGGGAAAGTGATCAAAATTATGTTTTCCAATTTTGCTATCATCAAAGCAGTCACTTTTGTTAATGATTAATTGCAGCAAGCAGCTCGCTTGTTTCAAACTTCTAAATAATAAACAACACAGATGAAACAGAATATAATCTGTTTCAATTTTCTTGCATCAATCTGATATCAGAGCACATAAAAAGTACTTATTACAAAAAACGGCAGGTAAGAATAAGTGCCATATATTAAAAAGTATACGTGACTTTGCGGTGAAAATGTAATAATGAGCTTTTGAAAATTTTGAACGCCGATTTCTATTTTGAAAAATTGTCCTAATTTGATTTTCAGCACAATTTAAAATGAAAGGTATTTTGCGTCATTGGCCAATGGGGTTTCAGCTTACTCTTCTTTTCAGTGCCTGTAAAAAAGATTCGCGCTCTTAATTCAAAAAAGAAACAAAATTTCTCCATAAAACCCCTATTTTAAATAACAGAAGGAGCTAATGTGAAAGTTATTTTCAGAGTGTTTTATTGTTAAAAGGACAGATTTAAATATAGATCAGCTAATATAAGAATGGCATTAAATAGTAATTGCTTTTACATTTTGCTTGTTACTTTGAAGTGGACCAATTTAAAAGAAATCGCTAATTCATGAATGCCTATTCAGGAAATTAATACTATCCACTGCCAAAAAAAATCGGCTTCTTCCGATATTCATTAACAAATCCAGTTTGACATTTTCTCAATCATTCTTCATTAACTTGAAGTAAACCTGTACCCTCTCTTATTGGCGTCGCCCGTTACCAACCTGTAATTTTAAAAAACTAAAATTTACAGGTTGGTAACGGTTGGCATCTCTTTAACAGGTTGGCAACTCTTTTTGCCTTTAATTTTTTAAAAATTTCTCCTTAAGAGAAAACAACGGTTCAAATTTTGGTGCTTCTGATAGCTACAGTTACTTGATAAAAACTCGAAACTTTTTGATTTTAACGAGAAAATTTTCTAGTTGGACTACCTCATAGGGTAATTTCAGATAAAGTACACTGTCTGTTCTCCACGCTACCTAATTTTCGGCCGGATAGTTTCGTGCAACTGATCATAGTCTTAGTCTTACTTTTTAAGACTCAATAGATCCCGATAAAGACAGGGAAAGCGATTAGTTGGAGATCAATTTTATTTGGTATTCTCTAAAAGTGCTCTGATTGTAAGCAGCCAAAAATTACAGTTATAAATATGAACAGACTGCTTGTATCAGGGCGAAGCCCTGAATGTTCCGACTGCCTTTTAAGGTTTATGGAGCAGCAGTAATAGCATAAAAAATTAAAAGAAATAAAATAAAATGAAAATTTTTTTTTTAATTTGAAATTTTTTATAAAAATTATCCCCCCACACGCCATATAAAGTACAAAAAGATAGATTTCGTTCCTTGTAACAAATCAATTATGGCAAATAATCTTCCTTCAACCAATTTGGAACGATTTATAAGACGGATTAAATCTCCGCTTACGAGTTAATAGCGCGAATGATATCGTGCGTTAATTGTCCCAAATTGGTCAAAATGGCCAAAATGGCAATCTTTAAACCCTCATAACTTTACGCAAAATGATCACAGGTGAAATATCTTTTCAAATTTAAGCTCAGGACAACAATACCTTTCGAGTGATATAAAAAAAATTCCGTCAAAAATGGCTAGTTAAAAAGTCGAAATTTGTCTGAAGAAAAAAAAACCCACCCCGAGCACAAATATTCCGTTACTTTCGTATCGAAAGTCGGATCAATAATAAGTGGGGGATATGATTGGTTAGTAATAAATACTTTTCAACCATATTTATTTAAAAAAATGCACAGCATGGAACGATAAATAAGGCATCGAACGGATCGCAAAATGATCAAATTTTTCCTCACGTTTTTATCTTTTTTGCTGCATTAAATAAAATTAAGGCTCACAATTTTGAAACATGATAATGATTTTTTTTTTATAAAAGGCTAGATAATGAATTCTTGAGGACGTTGGAGCTAGGTTGAGCATTTTTTGAGAAATTTTGTATTGATGCCGTAAAAAAGCCAGTATATCATAGCAATTAACAAAAGTTTTCTTGTTGTGGAAGCGTACTCTCATACAACGCGAGGAAACTCAAATTTGGAGCTCAGGTTGGTTTTTTGTGAAGCTGATAAGCTAATCAACTCTTTTTGTCTCAGAAAAACGACAGACAGAGACGTTTTTCGGTCCAACGTCAAATAAAGGCTCAATTTTCTGGTAAAAGCGCCTAGGGACTTTCGTCAACAAACGACTGTTTGTTGACGCCGGACTAAGTAAATCTTTCATTTTTTTGTGTCATTCTTTTAGCTCTAAGAAACGCAACTGTGAAGCATTTTCATTATTTGAAATTTTAATTCTTTACTTTGAACAGGTGCAGAGAAAACGACAAAATGGGACAAAAAAATCGTTCATTTGCTCTGTGAAGTAAAAAAAATGGCAAATCCGAGATCCTATCGGCACGGAAAATCATTTGGAAAGCATGCAGCAAACATTACTTTCGTTTGAATCTACTTTTTTAAAATATGAAGCTCGAAAAGTTCGAGAAAATCGGAACGTACATCAAGGCAATCGACACACAGCCAAAACATTAGTCAAATATAGGCAAATGTAACATAGGCAAATGCCACAATTCATTGTCTTGTGACAAAGTTAAAGAAGCTTTCCAAAACTGGTACAGAGGTAGTAGAAAAAAGCCAGTTCATTCCTTAGTCAATTTTCGACACTCAAAATAATAGTTTTTACCAAAAACGTTTTTATATCCCTTTGAAAATATCGACTTTTTGCAGTAAAAAGATATTTTGCCTTCGATTATTTTTTGTTAATATCTGAGGGTTTGAAATTGATAGTTTGGCTATGCTGGACTAATTTATGCGCGCTGTGAAAAGTTTATTTTATCCACTATCGCGATTTTTTTTAAGGAAGGAAAATCCCGCACTACAAATTTGTTCCAACACGCTTGATGGTGCTCTTGTCAAAAGTTTATGGTTTCCTAAAACATTTTCACCAAAAGCTATTCGATTCCGATTAAGGGGCAGTCGGAACATTCAGGTCTTTTTCCCATTATAGTTTTAGCCTAGTTACAAAGAAATTGTTGATAGCGCCCCCACACACTGTGTTTTTTTTGTATTTGGGGGGGGGGGATGAGCCCAATTGTTTTGTTCATTGAAAGATAGTTGTACTGCTATTCGAATTCTAGCTGTATAATCGATATTTTGACTAAACTTGGAGAGGTACTGAAAACTGCTTTGAGTCATCTACAGGTTTTCACATAGTGTTCTGAGTTTTTTGGATTTTGAAGCCATGTATAAACAGTATCTGAATAAACCAGCTGACCACATACTGAAAAGGTACAATTTTATGTTATTAATTGCTGTAATGATTGATTTTCTTCACCTTTCTGCCACTTTCTCGCCACGCTTTTAAAATGCTTGATTGAAATATCTATGATTGTTAATCAAATTTTGTAGAAGAATCTGTCGTACGGAGAGCTGTTCTTGGTGCTGGAACGTTCTCGTAGGCAACTCAATGGATTTCACCAGAGGCCGAAGGCAAATTATGAAAAAAAAACCTAGCAAAAACGCTCCCTCCTCAAAATTTGTACATATTGGTGCCGAAGGCGCCTTTTAAAAAAACTTTTAGGGTCCGTCAGCAAAAGTGGATATCTCAAAATAGTGCAAAAGGGAGACCCTTTGGGTCGGCATGGGGTCGAATCCCTGAAAACGAACGTCCATACCCCAGCAAATCCCCCCCTAAATCCGCCCCTGGATTTCACCTTTCCACGTTATCTGACTATCTTTTTAAAAAAATAGCTGGTCTTATATATTGATGTTGGTCCAAAATTTGTTTTCTATGCTTGTTTCTGAAAAAATCAGCATGACAGATGAGCAAAAAAAATTTTTTGAGCTAAAAACCAGGTATCGTTCCAAATAGTTCCAAATTTCACCCACATCGTTTTCTGTTTATTTCAACATTTCTACTGTCGGAGCCGATCAATAAATGCGAAGCCGACTTTAATTCATTTAATTGTTCCCCATGATTTCAGTTAGGCTTCATCATCACGTGCTTCAGGCTCATTTTTTTAAGATAGCAAATTTTTTTTCCGACTTTCGCTGAAAGTGCGGAACATTTATGCTTGGGAGTTTTTGTATTCACTCAAATTTTAACTACTCTAAGAGATTTGTTATCTCGAGCTCAAATTTAAAAAGATATTTCACCTGTGATTGTTTTTTCCAAAGCTATAATGGTGTGAATTTGGGACTTTGACGACTTTAGTTCAAATTGGTATAATAAAAGCACGAAATATTTCTTTCTATTAAATCGCCAGCGGAAAAACACATCTTTCCAAACTGACTTAAGCAAAACAATTTGCTCTTCTTAATACGTTAACATCCGCTAAACATTTCATTCTGTCTTTTTATAGCTTTCGGGGTTTAAAATTAATGTATCAAAGTTTTTTTTGAAAATACTTAAATTTTCACATTGAAGTTCTTCGAAAGTTTTTTGTAAAAACTAATGAGCTTGTGATCGACGATAGAGGGTAGCCGGAACCTTCAGGACTTTTCCCTGATATACGAGCTGTTTTGTTTGTATAGATATCGATACGTATTATTTTCCCCCATATGTCAGCTAACCATTTATTGTGATGTTTCAGGTTTCAGTCTTTCAGTTCCTTAAATGGCAAAGTCTTAAGATGAAGCATAGATATTCTCATGTAATAAAAACCTTGTTATTAGACACAAAAAAAACAAGAAGTCTCATGGTGGTTCATTTCTTCAAATTGGTGGGTTTCATCAGAATCGGCAATTTATCATTAGTGTAAAATCAAAATTTTAGTCGATTGTTTGGGATTTCTTTTTTGGTCATTTGAGAAATCGTCATTTATTGCTCTTCACTATCGTTTGTTCACAATCTTTTCTTGAATATCTGCCCAGGAGCAATTTGGTGGAAGAGGATTTTGATCAGCTGAATTTAACCCAGTATACTTGAGTCTGAAGTTATCAGAAATTACTACGGTTTTCAATTGATTCAAAATTCACAAGGAAAAATGAAAGAAAATTTATTATACGTTTTGTATATTAGGATCAAATACCTTTCTGTTAAAAAAATAAAAACTGCATGTAATAAGGCCTATAAAATTTCTTTTCGCTCTCAAACTTTGTCAAATTTTCTGAGTTTTGGTAGAATTTTTATGGCTTTTGAAAGAAAGCCTTTAAAGGGTTACTGTGTTTTAAAAATTTTCTTCAAGATTTTGAAAATTTAGCTATTATAGCAATTTCTCCGAA